CAAAGGCATTGCCAAAGAAAGCGCCGATTCAGCTGAAAAAGAAGGAAGGTATTACAGAAGAAGAAAGAAAAGCAGCTACTACAAAGGAGAAGCAGATCGCGCTGAAAGAAGAATTGTTGAAAAGATTTCAAGAGATTCCGGAGAAGGTGATAGATGAAAAGTTGGCGAAGATTGATCGTGGAAAAGAGAAGCCGAATGAGCCAACAGGGACGCCACCGAAGCGTGAGATAAATCCCTACTGGATGAAAGACGGTTATGGAAGCAACAAGGGGGCAAAGCCTCAATGTTATTACTGCAAAGTTGCAACGGACCACCGAGCCACGGAGTGTCCGGAGATGATTCGTGCGGTAAAGTTTTACTATCCACAAGACAAGGAAGTTCCAGAGAAAGGAAATTCCGAAAGAAAGATTTTCTGCAAGAATTGTTTTATGTACTTCAAGTACATACTGCCAAAGACCTTCAGATACCCAGGCTGGGGTACTCATACCCCTGACATCTGTAGCTATTGGGAACAAGTGAAGGACTATCTCAAGTCCAACTCGTATAAATACGAGAAGGAACTGCGAGACCTGCAAGAGGATGAAGATGCAAGAGCCAAGAGAGGTTTTATCCCGAAAGAACAATGGGGTTCAGAGCAAGCTCCGAAGAAGCAGAAAAGGGATGATGAAGGTAAGGCAGAAGCAAAAGAGGAAAAGAAGACCAAGAGCAAGGCAAAAGACAAGAAGACTGATGAAAAGGACAAGACGAAGAAGCCCGAGAAAGAAAAGAAAAGAAAGAGCCAATCAGAGGCTGAACAACCAAGCGCTGAAAAGCGTAAGCGAACCGAAGAAGAAGAACACCTGGAGTGACCCAAAAGGTTGCGGTTAAGGTGAAAGAAGAAAAGAGAGTGAGGGCGAGAGCCCATGGCAAGTGAGAGTGGGAAAAGTCCACTCAAGGAGCAAAGTTTCACAAATGCATGACATGAAAGAAGGGGCAGTAAAGCCTATCTTTTCGTGAGAAAAGAGGAAAGCTATGCTGAAGTGAATTCCAAGAGAAAGAGCGGAGTTTCACGGAAAAGGCGTACAACGCCGCGTCAGCAAAAGCTAGACCCACGACAATGCACTACGAGCACAACGAAAGCGTTTCAAGAAAGCTTAAGAAGCTGAAGGCATTTCAAAGAAAAGCCAAAAAGCCAAAGTCGCCAGACTACGAGATCTACCGCGACGTGCAGAAAAAGTGAGTGTGCACGTAGAGTGAGTGAGTCCATGCCAATTGTGTGTGGAACGAAATTCGCAAAACTGCTATAGGACATCTGAGGAGTGAGGAAGAAGACAAAAGAATGGAAGTGAAGATGTTCAACAAAGTGCTTAAAGAAGCGTGTGAGAAGTGAAGATGAAGCTCAAAGGAGCATGTGACAAATGCAACAAGAGAAGAAAAGTTTCACAAAGATCACGTTACACGACAAAGCTGTGTACGTGATGAGGGCGTAACAGATAGTTCAATTTTCCCCTCATGCCCAATTTGACGCGTTTCACTGCATAGCTCCGTAGGTCAAACGTAGGCTCAAGACAGCCGGACAGCAGAGCTGGGTAGTGAGAAAAGAATCCCCACTCGTGCCGTGTTTATAGAAGGTATACTGGTATAAGGGTTTAAACTTTCACTTTCTGAGCATGCTCTTTCCACCGGCACACCACGGGAGGATGGGAGGTGGTCTCCAAATCATCCTTCGTGCATCTCTCCACTCCCAGACTGGGAAGTGTGTAAAGCAGATCCAACATGCGCAATATCCCTTGGTCCTGATGCCCACTCAAAAGGATAAGCACCAAGAACCCCTTCCTTTTCAGATACTGCACAGAAGGCCTATCTAAGGCCGCGAAGCCTTCTTTTCTGGAACAGCTGGGATACAGTCTGGAATGGTGGTCAAGCAACGCTGGACTCACTAGAACTGGAAGTTTTCTGCACTGGCTGGACAGTTTTCTTGGTCCCTTTGGACCACCTTTGAGTCAGGTGACTTGGCGTTTTTCTGCCCTGACACGGTGAGCTGAGACGAGGTCGTGAAGAGGAACTGAGTGTTTCTGAACGGCCCGCTTTAATTAGTTTGCTACGTGTTTGTCACCACGAACTCTTGGTCCCTTGTTGGTCCAAGACAATCCTGTGCATATGGTGCAGGTGTGCAAGCCTCTTCGATCAAAGATCGGCTGTGTGTGTTTGTTTTTGTGTTGGAGCGGCGAGTACGCACCAAGGGAATGTGGCCTGGGCATCCCCCTAGTGCTGAAGTGCCATCGTTGGTGCTTTGTTGTTTTCTGCGAAGATCTTTGAGGAAGCCCTCAGCAAAATGCGGGGGGTGTAAGATCATGAGCGTTAGCCGCTTGTGAAAAGTACTTTTGCTAGTTAGTTGTTTTGCTTCGGGAACGGTTTCAAGGTTTGATTGGGAATCTTGATGATCCCAAGGTTTGTGAAACCTTCCGGGTACATTTGAGAATCTTCGATCTCAAAGTGTACCTTTGTTATCTGTGAGGACTCCTTGACGGATACTCTGTGATATGTTTATATCCCACAAGATTTACTCCGCAAATCTCTGTGTGGTTAGAGCCCAATACGCTAATTCGTTTGTTTGAATTCGTTTCCACACTTATGTGTGAACTCTGACGCGCTACGTGAACGTTTGGCTCAAGCCGAGTGAAAAAGACTTGCAGCTGTCCGCTGTGTTCGTCGTGACTTGTTTCCAAGGGAAAAGGTCCAGGAGGGACCTTAAGTTTTTCACGACAAGGGATCGAGCCTCGATCTCCTGTTTTCTTCTGGAGATGTTGTGTTTCTGCAGCCCAGAAGCGACCAGAGGTCGCTTCTGGGCTCCACGATGTGCGCAAGGGGGGCTGGAGGGTCCCCCTATGATCACACACATGTAGAATTTCATTGTTTTTTTTCAGGACAGCACAAGGAGGTCCCAGCAGCAAGAGAAACATTCCAATGAATGCTTCTCTTGCTGCTGGGGTTCTGGCTTGCCCGTCTGCCCAGAAGCAACAAGGGATCGAGCCTCGATCTCCTGTTTTCTTCTGGAGATGTTGTGTTTCTGCAGCCCAGAAGCGACCAGAGGTCGCTTCTGGGCTCCACGATGTGCGCAAGGGGGGCTGGAGGGTCCCCCTATGATCACACACATGTAGAATTTCATTGTTTTTTTTTTTCAGGACAGCACAAGGAGGTCCCAGCAGCAAGAGAAACATTCCAATGAATGCTTCTCTTGCTGCTGGGGTTCTGGCTTGCCCGTCTGCCCAGAAGCAACAAGGGATCGAGCCTCGATCTCCTGTTTTCTTCTGGAGATGTTGTGTTTCTGCAGCTCAAAAGCGACCAGAGGTCGCTGGGCTGCACGATGCCCCCTATGTCCCCTATGTGCGTATCACACATGTAGTCTGTGGGTGCCTGCGACCCGCTGCCGATCCTCTCTGCTTTCGAGTTCCTGTGCAAGGCTTGCGATCCTTGCCTCCTTCATGCTCTCTTTGGCTGTTGCTTCCTCTTCTGCACTTCGGCTGCTGCGGCTGCTTCCTCTTTGTTTCAATTCTGATTCACGAGTCCCCACAGCTCCGGCCAAACCGATGATCAAACATCTCGGGTAGCTGAGATGTTCAACAACAAGGAAGCAGCGTCCTGTATGCCCCTGACATCACGCGAATCCCTGATGAAGAAATCTCTGGTTCAACACGAGAGTTTTGACGGTTGTTTTTTTAAAGGCGATGGCTGATCTGTACAGTTCATGTTGCTTCGTAGGTTTATGTTGCAGCCATGACACAGCTGTCGAGCTCTAAGAGGCACAGTACGCGGTGGCAGTCATACGCGCAACTGTCGGGCTCTTAGAAGCACGGTTGGACGTCACACCGACGGACCGCTCACACTCGCCCGCATGACAACTGACACAGTTGATGCTTTTGAATGAAAAAATGATGCTCCCAGCCGTTTGTCGTTTGCACATCCATCCTGCGCTAATCCTCGAGCCGTCAAGGCTTCGGTGGGAGCTGCCGTCCAGTGCGTTCTGACGGGGGTGCCGAGCAGCACATTGGACCTTTCCCCACTTTGGAATGAAAACAGTTTGAGCGAGTATCATATCTTTATGTTTGGATGGAACTTTTTATATGCTGGTCATTTCATATAGATGTTGGATTGATTTATTTGATACGATTGTTGCAAGCGATTTCATAGACAGAATAAGATGATTTGCTCATCATCGTGCTGCTGCCTCGTCACCATGGAGCTGGAGGCAAGAGGCCTGCCCATGGTATCGCCCCCACCGTCGCCTTTCATTTCCAAAGGCAGAATCAATGAAAACAAGGATGGGCGAGTCAGTGTAATGCCACGACACCGTCTGGGGCGCGCCTGCCAAGTTGCACATTAGCTGCTCACAAACTGTTTTGGATGTCAGCTGAGGGAGCCGCCAAGGGGGCAATCGCACGGCCCAAAGCCGCGCGATTAAGCTGACCTTGGATGACGGGGATGAGCTTGAGTCACCACGGACGTTGCCCAACTCATCCCGCAGCTCAGCGATGGTATAAAAGGCCCAACAAGACCAGATACGTCCAGTGTACAGCCAACGGCGTCGAAGTCTTGTGCTTTGTTGGGGTCAGTCGAGAAGTTAGCTAGCCGTAGCCATAAATCGAATCGGTAGTCGACTTGGCCATCGATTCCGGAGATATCGTAGGGAAGTCGTCGAGTACATTGAGCTCGGAACAAGGAAGGCTCGTTGATCAAGAACCTCCATGACAAATTGTTTACCAGAATTTTGCGCGACGGTTGTGAGCCATGTACATGGTGTCAGCACAGGGTTTTTCGAAGTGAGAAGACGGATCAATCAGCAAACACATGCTTCAAGGAAGCTGGGGGTACGACTCGGCTCATGCATGCATGTATCGCAAACGTGTGGTGCAAGACGTAAAACTGGAGGGTGGCGAGCCGTTGACAGGCAGGTCCCACATCAAACAACAACCCAAAACGGTATGGGGTCGTGTCAGACAAAGTTGCGTTAGATCCTTGCCATGGGCTGGTTGCAAGTCATGAATGTTTTTGCTCTTGCGGGCTGGACGTGGCTCTTGCTGCATTCCGTGCTGCCCGCGCACAGCGGTCTTGTGGCTCGCGATGAAGTTGCTGGTCAAGGATGTGTTGGGATTGAGCAAACATTGTGATACACTGCTTTGTCTTCATGGAGTTTTAAAATTATAAACAGAATTGGTGCCGCGGACGAACCAGGTTGAAGTCGTCTCTGAGCCGTGTTGTGGGTACTTGGGGGAAACAATAGAAAACGTGGTGATTACATCTGGTGTCTTGGTGGTTTCTTGTTGGTCTCCTGCTTCTTTTCTTGCGGCCTCTCAGTCGTCCTGGTCGTAGTGGTCGTGTGGGTGGTTCTAGTGGCTCTGGTCGTCATGGTCGTCAGGGTAGTCCTGGCTTTTTTTGTGTTTGGGGATCTACGAGCACAAAGGGTGTGAGCTATTGATTCTGTAAGATGTTCGAGGTCAGGCATTGCATGCTGTTCGTTGAGAGATGGGTTGGTTCGAACGGAAAAACTTAGCTTGAGTGTACACACCAGGCGAATGTAGCGTGCCTTTATGGGTTAAGGCGGTTAAGGGTTGGGTCGTCGGTTCCCAGCTTCAACGCACATCATTGACCGTAGCTGGAGGACTCCGAGCCAGGCGTGCGCAATGGCTGTTTGGGGCGCTTCAGACGTTTTGCTACGCAGAGGTCTCGACCATCGCATACCACAGACACTGTGTTCTGCGAAGCTCCGTGGGCCGCACGAGCAGACTTTGTTCTTCTCATTCGGAAGCCTTGGTTTCCTGGATTTTTGCACCCGTCTTACCAGTCGAATGCATAAGGCATGAAAGGAGTCGAACAGACAGTGCTCGGGCTTGGCATTTGTGTCTTCCGCTCCACAATTGCTGTCTTTGCGATTCCGAAGCTGGACAACGCGGCACTACACCAGGCGACTGCCGACCGCATTGCAGCGGCAGAGCAGCATGCCGCAGCATGCCGCATGCCCCTGCAGATTTTTTGCCCAGTCCAGGCTCTTGTTGGTGGCTGGGCACTTGCAGATGTTCTTCGGTACATCGCCCTCTTGAGTTACCTGGCATTGCAATGTAAGGCAGCGGGTCCCCCGCTGTTCGGCGGACAACATAGACCGAGGCAAACGGCCTTCTCTTCAGCTTCTTCGGCGCATTGCTTCCACGATTCTGTTCCTGCTCGTGGCCATCGCAGAGGCCAGAGGCTCTTGTGAATGCCGATCAGCCCTAAGCTTGTGGTGATGGCGCAGTGACGCAGGTATGTGCCAGCTGGCTGACGTTCGACAGCTTCAGCTTGGGAGTCAAACGGTCTGTCGCGAGTTGTTGGTCGCCGTCTTGCAAAGGAGAAAGTGTGGGTGTCAGTATGCCAGGTGGATGTTGGTGCAGATGTGCGCGACTACGATGGGACTGCCTGTCGGAGCCTACCTCTTCTTGAAGTCTGCACGGAAAGTGCGAACAGACGCGAAAAGCGCATAGCAAAAGGACATGGGAGGCGAGTCTCAATAGTGGCACGCGCCGTTTTGTTTCGGTCGCAGCAGGAATTTCCCTCCTTCGCAGCAGCACAGCCTTGGGCCTAGGAATCGTAGTCGTAGATGCAGCAGACAGACGTTGATGCAAACAAGCGAGCGTAAGGCAATAGGTTGAGTAGTGTACAGCCACCAGCTAGTTGTTTCTACTCCACAAGCGTTGTAGGCACTCCTGGCTATTTTGAGTAGTTTGAGGATAAAGCCCGGGTCACAGATGGCCATTGGTGCACTAGGCCACAGGCGTATCAGCACCAACCTTTCCAGCAGAGGCGCACTGCGCAGGCACCGCTGGTCAACCGTGGGAAGTTGGATGGGACGCGTCGGGTGCGTGTCTGTTGGATGTCAGGGCATGTGTCTTACATCGTCTTGCTTTCCGATGTCTCTTTTCTCCGTGCGCTCCTCCCCAAGGAGAGCTTCAAGTGCGAATTGGGAGAGAAGGTGCGAAGGAGTGCATGAAGGAGTTGGGGCATTGGGGTGCTGCTTCAGGCGGTGTTGGCGCCAGCCCATGGCCATGTCCCGATCTACAGGCCAGATCTGAGACCGCCGAGACGCGCCGAGACGCACATCCGATCCGATCCGATTTGAGTTTGGCCGAGGCCCAGGCTCCCTGGCGCCTTGTGTCGAGGCCGGAGCAGAACACGAGAGGGACCGAGCCGACCCAGCCGACCGAGCCGAGCGCGCACGCGTTGTTGCGAGATGTTGAGGGTCGCAGGATCAGTTCTCAGGTTTTTTTTCGTTCGGGGCGGTTTTGTGGTTTTTGTGATCCATTGTCCTTGTATGCTTCTTTCCCAACTAGAGCTTTGGCGTTTTGAGAGGAAACCTCGCGGGCTGCGAGATCTCTTCTGGCCTCATGGTTTAAGTCGCACGGTTTTCGTCTGGGTTCCGGGCGGTAGAGGGCTTTGGTGAGGTTGCTTAGGGATCCGACGACACCTGCTAGCTGCTGCCAGCAGCCAACATCATCAGAAGCCACATCTGAAGATTCTTTCATCCTTTCAGAACCTCTCTCCTGTGGCCATGCCGACCCCCTCGCGGGAAAAGGGTCGGGTCGGGTCTTTCCCGTGTCTTCTTTCTTGCATAAAAAGTCGGGAGCTTTTCTTTCGGCGCAACAGTGAACTGAAAGACTGACAGGAGGACGAGCTCTGTGTGCTGCGTGTGCTGCGATCTCTGTGCGCTCCACTGCTCCGACTGCAGGCTCCCAGGCCGAGCAAAAGCTGCTCCCGGCGCTGCAGAGCGGCCCCAGCCGCCCGCTCTGCGAGCGTCGGAGACTCGCCAAGCTCTGCTCTCTCGCGATGCTGAGCTGCGCAGCTGCGCAGTCCGCTGCGCTGCAGGCTCCCTGTGGCCGCATCTCGAGCTTCTCAGGTGCCGGCGGCCCGCTTCGCTTAAGGGCGGCTCGCCATCCGCTCCTCTCTCTTTCTGGCAGGATGGCGGAAGTGCCCATCGGCCTGCCTGGCACGACCGGGGGGTCCCGGTCAGCAAGGCACGGTCTGAGCCCGGTGAGCTCTCTCTCTCCCAGTCTCACTCTCTGTCTGTCAGGACCTTGAGGACGGAGGCGGAGCTAGCGGAGCAAGCGGAGCAAGCGGAGCGAGCGGAGCGAGCGGCCAAGGCCGGGCCGTTCGCCTCTTCTCTTCGGAGTCTTCGGTTCTTCCAGGGTTTTGTCGCCCTCTCCAAAAATGCTCCGCCGAACTCGCGCCAGGCCGAGCCGCAGGCCGAGAGCGGAGAGCTTTTCTCGCGGCCTTTTGGATCCTTCGTTGTGAGAGGAGCGGCATCAGCTCCCCAGCTTCGATGCAGAGGCCACGGCCCGGCAGGGGCAGCGGGACGGATTGGGTCTCCTCTCAGCACTTCTCTCGCTCTCTCTCTGTGTCTGTCTGTTCTCTTTTTGAGGCCGCTCTGCGCGCTCTGCGCGAGGAGCGCTTGGAGAGGGAGCGCAGGCTCCCTGCTTTGCTTTCGAGCATGCCGCAAGAAGTGGAGCTGCTTCCAAAGAAGAATCGACTAGTAACTAGTATCGACAGTGTTCAAGGGAAGATCTTTTGCGTTCCAGTAGCTCCGAGCCGCTGTGGCGTTGTGTCGTTTGCTTGCAGGTGCCACTTTTTGGACTTCCCCCGTGGCCGGCCATTGGGGCTCTCGGGGCCCGGGCTGGGGGACGAAGGCAGAGCTTCCCTGAGCGAGGACCAGACCCGCGGTTGCCCGAGAGCCGCTGAGAGGGGCAAAGTCATGTCGTGTTGTTTCGTTGGAGGAGATGCGGAACAGCGCTCAGCTCGCTGAGCGATGCGAAGAGAGGGAGACGGCTGGGAGGCAGGGGAGACCAGGGCCAAGGGTGACCGGCGCTCGGCCGCCAGGACCGGGGCCGCCAGCACCAGGGAGCTCAGGGCCGTCGATCTTCGAGGTGCCACGCGGTGCTGCGCGCGTTCTCGGATCTCAGCGCATTTTTTTGGCGCACAGGTCGAGGTCTCCTGGAAATTCTTCCAGAATGCAGGGGCCGGAGGTAGGAACTGGGCTCGCAGCTCTGCAAGGGCTGAGCCGGTTCTGAGAGGCAGGGGAGAGGGAGCATCTCGCTGAGAGGCGCCATCCCTCTTCGCTCGTGCGGAAGCTCGCATCCTGGCTTCCTTGAGGAGCCAAACAGCATGTCTCGGGGGCACGTCGAGCAAGAGGTGGCTAACCCCACAACCCTAATTCCAATACCCCCCCGATACTTTCACCCCAATTCTCTAACCACCTAATAAACCGACCTTCCTGATACAACCCAAACCATAAGCACTACCTACATCCACCACCTTACCACAATCCTGACCCACAAAAACCGAAAGCAGGTGCTAACCCCACACCTCACATCCTATACTCCCCCCTACACTTTTATCCCAATCCTCCAACAGTATCCCAAATCAACCCTTCAAAACCATCCAACACGAAGCACTCCTCAACTCACAACAAAACGAATAGCACAACCCGAAACACAAAGCACCAATACACATACAAAATCAAAACAACCTCCTTCCCCCACACCTCAACCCTTCAAAACACCAAAACACAAAGCACCTCCCACGCCACATCCAACCCCAAACACAAAACAAAATCATAACAACCTCCTTCCCCCACACCTCACATCCTGCACTGCCCCCTACACTTTCAACCCATTTCTCAACCCGCCTCCCACCTCATCCCACCTCAACCCTTCAAAGCACCAAAAACACAAGGCACCTCCCAAAACCCAATACAATTATCCCGAAACAAAAGCAACCCACCAACCCAATACAACAATCCATAACACAACCCAAAATCCAAAGCACCTAAACAATACATTCCCTATGAAGCCTTCTCACCGGACACTGCCTACACCAATGACGGCATTCTCGTGTGACATTATCGACGAGGTGTGCCTAAGAGATTCCCTTATTCACCTACAGTTCCATACAACAAACAAAAGAGTGAGAGACGATACGGACTATCTAAATACTATAGATGATTGCTTGATGTAAAACATTAACAAAATATAATATTGTTAGTATATTATTTCACTTAATACGCATCGTTTTAGGGGTAAGATTTCAAATAAGGGTCTAACGCCCAACCTCGGAATGATGTATTGTACAAATTCCGTATTTTACAAAATGACCTAAAGACTTGAGGACTTAAGATAGTAGAAAGGAATGACTGAAGATATGAAAAGGTGTATTCAATGTAATAATGCCTATTCGTCTGATATGTTCCATGTTAGGGTCCGTATATGCGACACCTGTAGAGAACAGAACAAGATACAGAGAGACGAAACCAAAAAACAATGAAAATTAATTACCCTGAGAAGGTAAAAGCATGCAGACAAAAGACTGAAGAAAAGTATGCTGATGAAATCAAAGAAAGGAAGAATCAATATAGACAAAGCGAAGCAGGACGAGCAAAACGACAAGAATACCACCACATCATGTACCATTGTGAAAGATGCGGTGATGACGTCAAGAAATACAAAAAATCACAACACGAGAAATCTAAAAACCATCAAGACCTTTTACAAAGAAACATGACAAATGAAAGCTTCGCAGAGCCAAAGGGAATGGCAAAACTTTATGCGATAATGAATGGATAAACACTGATAGCATTTTACTAATTAACTTTAGCAAAATTCTATAGGGTGTGGGTTATACTCTTTGGGGAGATTTCAGATAAGGCTCTTACCCCAGACCTCATAGGGAATAGTTGAGGGTAGGCTTTGCTTAGATGGCTTTGGTTTTAGGGTTTTGGTAAAGGTCTTGCTTTAGGCTCTTCGGATTTGGGAAGCATTTGGTATGGATTTGGCTGGTGGCTTTAGTGTGGATGGTTTTGAAAGTTTTTGTTGAGGGTTTTGGCTAGCGGCTAGTGGCTTTGGTTTGGAAGGTTATTGAAGGCTTGATTTAGGATACTGTTTGAGAATTGGGTTAAAAGTATAGGGGGGGGTATTGGAATTAAGGTTGTGGGTTTGCCACCTCTTGCTCGTCGCTGTCGAAGTGGCGGCAGGCCCGGGCCCTTCGCTCGCGAGCCTGCATGTAGTTTCGTGATGCGGCCTCCAGTGGTGGAGTGGGCCGGGGCCACAGTCGCCTTTATCAGCTGTAATCAGCGCAGACTCCCTACATTTCTAATTCAGATGGAATCAAAAAGCTAAGTTGTCAGCACACTGTCAGAACGCTTTGGCCGCTCAGCCCCGTGTGTTCTTGCTTCCCAGCGCCCACTGCTTGACATTGAACTGGGTCAAGCATGGCGCCCCCCCCCGCCAGGGAGGCTCACAATTCTATAGTTGCTGTTTAACGGGACTGGCATCGCCATTCACAACGTCTTTTCTGTATTGCGGGGGGATCGCAGGCTAGGCTCTCTTCTCTGAAGCTTCAGTTTGGCGTACTCTCGTTTTGCGATGCCCCCAAAGAATTTCCCTGCAGAATCCGGAACGACGAAAGACACACTCAGGAGTTACCGAGTCGTCCCGAGCGAGAGCGCACGGCTCATCGCAGACCGTCGGCGAGGTCGGGATCAGACCAGAAAGCGCGGAAACGGGACGCAGCTGTACACGTTCATTTTGTTGCTGAGAGTTGAGGAGCAGGCGCAGCTCTGCCACGGATCTTCGAGCTCGAGAGAAGCTCGGCAAGCTGCTGGTGGGCCCGGCTCGAGGGCACTGGCGGCTGGCGCTCAAGCGAGTCTGTGCAGGTGGCCCACTACGAGGTCCGCTTCCGCAAGGCTCAGGCCGCGGGGCCCAGAAGGCGGGGCCGTGTGTGCTCTGCTCGTCGAAAAGGTGAAGACGGCAAAGCTGATGCGAGTGGTTCTCGGCATCGAGGCGCGCCAGCAGGGTTCTCGGCATGCTGTCACGACGGGCACTTCGGCCGCTCCAAGAGGAAGTCCCCCGGGTCGGGGGGCACTTCAGAACGCTGAGCTCGGTCGTCGGTCGTGCTGCGGCGGCGCAGCGTGCTGATCGCGTTTGAGTTGCTGTCTTCAGCTGAGATGCCATGCTTGTTATTGGTTGGCAAGCGCGGGCTGCGGAAAGGTGTATTGACGGCTTTGATGGTCGAATTTCTCCGGTGAGATACACACTAGCGAAAGCTTCCAGCCGCAGTAATTCCTGCCTTTCTTGGTCCACGGACGTTGCATCCGTCCGGTTAACCCCACAAGTCCAAGTGTCCTGTAAAGATGCCAGAAATTCTGAAGCCAAAGATGTTACCACTTTTCATCATTTAGATTGTCAAAATCGGCGCAGGAGGAGAAGCCCGAGAGCATTCTGGAGGGCCTCACCGTCTTGCAGAATGCCCAGAAGCTCATAGGCAGAGACAGAGAGCCCCTAGCCGCCCAGTGGGTCCCTGGCGAAGCTGACCTTCGACCTGATTCATCTGGGGCTCAAGTTCTAAAGCAGTCCTGCTCGTCCGTATACGCCGCCATGCCATGGATCTGCAAATTTCCATGGGTGCCATGGTGGAGGGCCGTGTCGTCGCTATCGAGGACGACATGTCTGGGAGACTGGGCGAATACCTGAAGCAGCTCGCATCTGCACCAGGACACCTTCTTGGAGGTGCTGCTGACGCAGGCAGAGGGCAGAGGGCAGCGGGGGGTCCAAGCGGGTTCTGGCGTTTTGGGCGTGACCTCTGCCAGGGAACGTGTACGCTTTCTGGGCGCCTCTTGCTTGGTGGCGCCAGCTCTCGCGCGCTCGGCCTCTGTGTTGGGGACGCTCCTCGGCCCGTCCCAAGAGGTCCCAAGAGGTCTGCCGTCGTCGTTGCGAGACTCTCAGGACCTCGAGCGTTTGAGGGTGGTGGGCAAGCTCCCGGACGGCACTCTTTGCTTGGTGCCGGAGGCCGATGAGATGGGCCGAAGGAGAAGGAGAGAGCTGAAGAGAGAGAGAGCCTCCAACGACTACGCTGAGGACCTGCAGGCCGGTTACGGTTTGAGCCAACCGCCGGGCGAGATGGAGGAGGCGAACTCCTACTCCCGCCAGGTGGCGAAGAAGAGCGGACAGCGCCGCGGTCGCGCGCGCTGCCCCCCCCCCCCCCCCCCCCCCCCCCCGCCCCTGTGTGAGGAGCTCCTGGAGCAGAGGCGGAGTTCCGCCAACTGCAGCCTCGGCGGCGGAGCGGAGGCGGAGGCCAGGGTTAGCGCCGGGCCGAGTGGGTCCCCAACCAAAGCTTGCTTTGCCCAGGCGAGGCCTCCGCCCCGGCCAGCCTGGGCTCCGCAGACGGCGCCCTACCGCGAGGAAGACTTCGAGGCGATGCTGCTGCAGGCGCCGCGGCGGGGCGAAGCTCTCCTCCGGATGCGACAGTCTCCGACTCTGTCCGTGACTCTCTTCGTTCTCGCTCTCTCTCTCTCTCTCTCTCTCTAGTCTTTTCTTCTTCTCTTCTTTTCTTCTTTTGCCTTGAACTTCAGCGTCTCTCTCTTCGCGTTTGTTTGCCAGGCGCTGGTGTCGGGCCAGCTGCCGCCTCCTTGGTGGAGCCGCTGCAGCGCAGCTTTGAAGCGGAAGGCGAAAGAAGGTGGCTGCAGGGTTACGGGCTGGTTTGGCGCAGCGCTGTTCATAGCGAGGCGCTGCTGGTGGCGCTCCGCGACGGGGGCCCAGACAACCGAGCGCAGGCGGATTCTGCTTGCGCATCCGTTGGTGAGGTCGGAAGCATGCAGGCGCCTCTCCGGCACTGTGCCTGCAAAGGACCCCTTCTTTTGGTCCCTTCCGGCATAGGCCGTGTATGCCATGCAGCCCGAGAGCGCTGCCTTCAGGCCCGAAATATAAGCCTCGCCCCAGTTTTGAACTGGGAGTCGGGCTCAAGTGGACAGGGCGCAGCTGCAGTGCTTCGAGCCAGACGGGAGCTTCCTCAGCGAAGCGATGAGTGGCATCTGGGACGACGCCGAGCGACTCGGTTCAGCCTGGGAAGTGGATGTCTCGGCAACTTCAAGCAAAGCAAACATCATCAGACAAGACATCCATCATCATCCTCATCGTCCTCATCGTCCTCATCGTCCTCATCGTCGTCATCGTCGTCATCGTCGTCATCATCATCATCATCAGCAGAATCGTAGCGTACTCTGCATTATTATTTCAGATCACCATCTTACGGTTCACATCCCGAAGCCGCATGCGACCCCCCCGAGTCCCGCGAGATGTCAGTCGCACATTGGAAATGCCGAAGCCGTTTCGAAGCGAACCCACTATGAAACGGCATTCGACCCTTTGCGACCACCAAGAGGGTTGCCATCTCTTCTTCTTGGAAGCAAAAATGGCATTCGCGACCCCCGCGCCTAGGCAGAAGATTGGCATATTTGTATTCGCGAAGCCAGAGGCTTCCGAAGCCACAGGAAAGCAACGCACGACAAGCAAGCAGCGTAACGAAACTGTTTCGACCCACAAGTTGGCAAGCGCTTGCCTCGGAATGGATTTGGTCAGAGCATTGCATCACATGGTCACGGGGTAACCTGAAACGATAATAGCTATGCAAAGCGGCGCGTACGTGTGGAGGGCAGCACTCCCTCATTCCGTACTCATACCAACGTCTCGAATGATTTTATTTCGGTGAGCGAGGCGCTTTGCAACCTCGCAGGTCGCTGCGCAGGTTTCGCGCAGGTTTCCGTGTCCACGTAGTCTCTGATGCTCCGCAGTGTACCGAGTAAGACCCCTCTGCAGCCACTGCGCCACTGCCGTTTATGAGGCGTGCTGCAGCCACAAAACGCACGTCGCCGTCAGGGCCCGCCGGGCCGTCGGGGCCCAGTTGTGGAAGGTCAGGGCAAGGAGGCAAGGGCGGCAAAGAGCACAAAACGAGGCTCAAGGCAGCCGCCAAGCTGGAGGATGCCTTGCAGCATGTGAGCGAGGAGGGACGAGGCCCGGCAAAATCGTGGCCCGAAGTGATCCTTGCCTAGCCGCCAAGCCATTAAGGCTAGATGTGCAGGCTGCCTGTTTCTCCTTAATCACAGGTGGTCGAGCTTGCAATCTGCTTGCAATCTGTTGTTTCGAGGGACTCAGGTGGCTTGGGTGCTTACTCCAAGTAGTCTGTGCGAAAGTACACTAGTCCAGAATGCGCACCAAACTACCCTAAAGTAATTCCGTGCACAAGCTCACACGACAGAGACCAAAGTAACCCTGAAGTTCGGGAGCGCCTGTTGTCTGCAAGAGCAAAGTGGTCTTGAGCCAACGACGGTTGGCAAAGGTCCAAGTCTGGGAGAAAGTGGGGACGTGTTATTTTCAAACGCCTCATCGAGACTAAAGTTACGTACTTTGTTCTCGTAAAGTATATAACACCTAGACATGTACAGATATGGGTTCAACCATGTAGGCGAAAAGTGTCACTGTTCCAAAAGTATCTCAGAGCCTTGGCCTTACAAAGTGCTGGAGCAGCTCGCGTGGGACTGAGTCCCACCACGGCATGTTTGAAAGTGCATCCCAAGCACGCGCAGGTACAGGTGGATGAAATAATCGATAAAAGTTGTTCGATGTTGCAAAAGTGTTGCTCAATTCATCTACCATAAAGTTGGGCTCCACAAGGTGGACCAACACCACCATGCCAGACAAAGTAGCTGCATCCAGTGCAGGGTGCAGTTGGAAAGTCTCAGAGGGAGGCAGACCGACAAACTAGTCGAGGTACCGCCTGTTCCAGACTCTGCTGACATTTAACAAAGTGTTCCATCTGGCCCATGTCACTCTGAGCCCCAAAGTGCTCACATCGCACCGAAAGTTGGATTCTCCAATCCTTGCTGGCGGCGGATCGAAAGCCCGAAAGTGAACATGAGCAGTGCGCTGCGTGGAGAAAAGCTAAAGTTCAGCACACCATCCGAGAGCCAAGGGCAATCTCGGCCGCTGATCGAAAAGTGTCCTCCACCAAAAACCTCCAAAAGTCGAGGCACAATAAGTGCACTCGGAAAGGAGATCATCCGCCAAAGTGCGCGGCACGTTGGGCAACAGTTGCCTGAACAGAAAGTGGAACAAAGTGTTTTGTATAACCCAAAGTTCCACCGCTGTATCAATTCCAGGGTGTTCCCATACAAAGTTGCAGCAATGGCCGGCAAGGCCGAAAGTGGCTGCGTCCCCAGGCAGCACAGGCAAAGTGCTCCAGTCGGAGATGCCCGGCCAAAGTTGGCTAGAATCCAAAGTTGCTCGCACTGCCTCGAGCGCAAAAGCTCAGCAAAGTGCGCTGGCTCATATGCCGCATTGTACATTGAAAAAGTGGCCTGCGGCCTTTGCCAGAAAGTGTACTGGCCACCCGGCATAACACTGCGCGGGGGCCGCTCAGGGAAAGTCTTTGGCGCCACTACGACTGAGGCTGCTTCCTAACGCGGCCAAAAGTGATCAACTGGATCAGCCTCCTCAAGACTCTGCGGCAAATCCCACGCAGAAAGGAGACAAAGTGGGCAATGTCCCGGTGGAACGTGCCCACAAAGTTGGTCACACCAACAAGCACCACAAGTGCCACGAGGAACCACCACCCAAAAGTGGCACCGGCTTTCTCGTCCTGATCCGCCGGTGGAGCGAGGCCGGCTTGCTCAAAGTCGCTCCTGTTCAAAATGCGCTCCCTTAGCACAGGGACAAAGCCACCACGTCTGGACTGGGAAAGTCCAAAGTCCAGACCTGCCTGAAAGGCTCGCTAGACCAAAAGTCTAAGGCTTCTGAGCTCGGCGTCGGAAAGTGGCGGTTCAGGTGGCAAGATCTGATTGTCATCCATCTTGCCAAAAAATCGCCACAAAATTCTCAGAACATTCCAGAAAGTTGCAGTCGCAACGCAGCAAAGTCACAGAGACCATGGCATGCCGAGCGAGCGAGCGACCAAAGTCCGAGTGAAAGCGGTTGCGGCGGAAAGGTGCAAAGTCAAAAGCAAAACCCGCGACAAAACCCGAACACCCTGAACGGGAAAGTCAAGTGAGCTTACATATGTACATGAAAAGTGGTGCGTTCGCACCGGAAAACCATCATCGGAAAAGTCATCCACCATCAAGGTTTCACGGTAGAAGTTTCTTCCTTTTCGGAACGGAGAAACGGAAAACTGAAAAAATCATCTTCAAAGGTGGTTCAGGGAAATCGAAAATTCCTAAGACGAGCGAAAGTCGAAGACATGTCGAACTGCACAAGCAAGCAAAAGTACATGTCCGCACAAGCATGAAAAGTACATGTCCGCAAGAACGTGATTCTCTCAGCTCTCAAAGTCCTCTTCTTTCTCGTCTGGTTTCTTCTGGGGAAGATGGCAAAGTCCAACCCGCGATGGGTGGCTAAACCACAAACCCGAAAGTAGGAAGATGGCGGTGCAAGGTATCCTTGTCAATATACTTAGTAAGTATATCCGACTTTCTTTATTCGAACCATGCCTGAAGCAACAAGTTCCTGTACATAAAGAAAGCGAAGTTCAACATGCTGTGTGGTGCGCCTAGCGCCGAAATGTGAAGCAATGCTCTTGCCAACATTACTATCGGTAAAAGCACTCACAAAGGTTCGCCTTCTGGAAAAGCTTGGATTCCTCAACAAGAAGTCTCACAAAAAGTGCGTCTGCTGTCCCAGACCCAATCGCATAAAGTTCAGCTTCTCCGCTCGAGAGAGCCACAGTGGCCTGGGTCCTGCTGTGCGAAATTATGTTCGCGCCGAGCACGAACTGACAACCTGCCCAATCACTATCAACATAAATGTCGATGTCTATTGCTTTGTGTTGTGGTCCGTGGTGCGAGGGAAAGTGTTGGCTGAAGCTTCTGTGAAAAGTCCCTGGTTCCCGCGAGGGACTTCAGAAGGAGTCTCGACTGGGTCACACTGAGGTCTTTTGCAGTCACTTGTGTGTCTGCACACGAGTTAGTTCCACGTCTTGAACGACGGTTGTACGTAGTTTTCGCTTCCTGTTTTCGTTTCTCTGCATGATCGCATCGCTTTGGGTGCTACACCGGGTGCGATCTGCTGTTGCTTTTGGTGCTTAGGCACGGACACGGCTGAGACTCCAAGTCTCCAGACAACACGTCTGTTAGGCCTGCACTAGGCGACCTTCGGGACAAGACGCTGTGGGTGAAAAAAATGCTGTCAAGCAGGCATGGGCCGTGATGGAGTAGATAAGCTTGAGGGCTCTTGATGAGCTCGCGTGGGCATGCATGGCTTTGATGCGTGTGTGCATTGACAAGGGCGAGATCTACTTCAGAAAGTCCGATGGGTCTGTGATTTCTGGCCCTCTGCATTCCTACTGACCTACTGGGCTCAGGATAGACGGCGATGTGCACCCGTCATCAAAACTACAAACTTGCGATCAGCTTACAAACAGTTTGCGATCCTCCCTGGCCAACACAAGGTTTGTGTGGTTACACTTCGGGATCCAGCTGACGGATGTGCCACAGGATTCGTCTGCCGTGTGTTACCGTTCGGAGCACTGGCTTCGGTGGGACAGTTTAATCGGTAGAGGGGTCACTTGTGACTTCTATCGGGTGTCACTTGTGACTTCTGTGCCGGTGTCGCTTGTCCTTCTCCTCCCTCTTCCACCTCCTCCCCCCATCCTCTTTGTTTAATCGGTTCTCATGATTGTCGCAACGCATTCTCTGGGAGCTCAAGCTTGCTGCTTCGAGCTACTTCGACGACTATCCTGCCGCTGAGGTTCACGCACTGGCTGGAAATCATGATTCAACGGTTAAGGCGGCGCTGCACCTTTTTGGCATTGACTGCGCCGACGACAAGGATCTTCCCTTTGCCTCCGAAGCAGATGTACTAGGAGTCCACTTGGATGCCTCTGACATCAAGGGCGGAGTGATGCGTGTGGCCAACAAGCCAGAGAGGGCTCGGGATATTGCTGCTTCAATTGACCAGGTCCTGGCGGATGGCTTTGTGGACCCTAAGCAGATTCCTTGGCTCTTTGGCCGGATACAGTTTTCTGAATCGCAGCTCATGGGACGTCAAGGCCGATTAGCTATGGCCAAGCTGCGAGGGCTTGCTGAAGCGCGTCATCGACATGTCTTGACTCCACTTGATGCCGAGATCTTCAAAAGCTTACGTGAGCGGATGCTGGTGGGCAGGCCTCGTGAAATCCAAGTGCGACCCTTGGGCGGTCGAGCTTTTGTCTTCACTGATGGCGCTTGCGAGAAGCTTGACGGATCCTTTTCGTGCACAGTAGGAGGCGTGATGTATCGCGTCCGTGACGATGGCTCTCACGAGACAAGGGCTGTTGAGTGCCACCGACCCATCGGTCGTAGGGCAATGGGCTGGACTGGGGAAGAGGCGCTTGATAGGACCACGGAGTTGTACGCGGTTACTGCTGCCCGGTATGTCTGGAAAGAATTTCTTGACAACCGAAGGGTGGTAAACCTCATTGATCGCAGCTGTGTCTTGGCGGCCATGATCAAGGGGTCGGACGATCTTTGGAGGAGCATCCTGCTTCATTACGAGTGTGCAGATGGGCGGAGGAGCCCGCCATTCCATGGTATGCTAGGGCCAGGGTGCCTAGCAAATCCAATCCTGGAGATGGGCCATGGCGGTCCGACTGGAGATTCCCGATTCTTGGCGAGTACTTTGAGGATCGACTTGTGTGTTTCATCAGTGGCAGAGCGCTTGAAGTTACGGGGCGGATGGTGCGGGGGTGGAAGACGCCCCAAACTTTCCAAAGCCCGAAGGGGCGGTTGGCGAAGTGCAACAAAAAGATCCCGAAGGGTATCTTCGAGCTTGCACCTTTTTCACCGAGCGGCTTTGCCGTCAAAGGAAAACATGATCAGCATGCGCCTGCTTCGTTTCTGCAGTCACGATTTCCTGAGTCTCCCGTAAGCTCTCTAGCAGGCTTCATTTCCCATATTATATTTGCCTTATGTGGCTGAAGATATATTTAAGGGGATTTGAAAGGCTCGTCCGAAAACATGAAGCCGAATTGGCTGTAAGCCGAT